ACACATTAAAATAAATAATGTGAAAATAACTATCATCTTCTGTGTATTATAACATAAACATAGAAATTCCGAAGTATTAATAATTTTTGCTTTGGGTAAAAAAAAAATTTCTTGATTAATGATTATGTCAATCAAATTTTCAACAAGAACAAATGCATGGTAAAATAAAGCTCAACACAAAATATGCAAATTCCTCACAAAATTTGGTCCCATACAAGTAGATGCCAAAACATTGTATGATAAATTATTGGTATGAAATATTCAACAAAGTATGAAAAAATGGAATATGTGAAAACCAGTTGGATGTTGAAAATGATTTTCACTTAAGTATTGACATTTTGCTACTTTATGTAAGCATTTTCAAAATACAAATGAAAAATCTAAGGAAATGTTATTAACATGGCCATCCCATTACACAAAATGCTGCAGTCAATTTGAAATATTCTCAGTTTTATTTTTTTTTTAATCATATCACCTCAAGTAAAGCGATAAAAGCCATGAGGATGTTAGGGGTTATTGAAAGTGAAAGAAACAAAAAGGACAATAAAAGAAGAGGTTCACAGAGACAGCAGATGATGATTGCCAGTCATTTAAATTTTTCAAGATTGTAGTTGTTAATAGAAAATTTATAAGTATATCCATGAACAAGTCTACAAGACTTTCACATCGGAAATATGTTAAAATAAAATGATTTTGATAGTAATTAAACATATAAAAATAAATGAATGAAAGTTTTGTTGAAAAAATAAAATGCATAAAAAAGATACAGATATAAAAGATTGTATAAAATGATTATTAACCTTTCACAGCCTTTTGTGCTATGAACAGGTTAATATGAGTAGATAGGTTTGCCTATTTCCCAGCCAGTACTCAAGCATTCATCTGCAAAGCCAGCCAGTATCCCTTCCATGTTTATTGAACAGGAGTAGAGTTTTATCCCTTGTTTTCTGCTTAGGATATGGTTTACTGGCTCCTTTCTTCTATGGCCTTAATGATGTGTCTTAAAGTTTTGGTGATTAAACTGATCAGTAGCTGTGACTTTTCATTGAGGATACTGAGTTGGCAGCTTTTGGGTTGCTGCATCCTGACTGGTAATAAGGAGCCCAAACACTTTGGTACCACTTAGATAGGCTACTCTGATCAACAGTTGCATAATATTGGGGTATTTGCAGTGCCAATGTCATGCATGGATACGTATCTCTGCATGTATTTCTGGTAGGCAACCTTGAGGACATTAAATTTCAGCCATCATCTGGCTTGTTTGTATTGACATAGATAATAGATAATGATAATTATCTTGACCTTTTTCTCCTTAAAACTGAATTCTCTTATGACAAATACAATTAAAAGAAATATGAGTAAACCAGTAAACAAAAAGTCACTTACCACCTCTCGACCTTTCTTTATCCAATATTCAATGGTATTCATACCAATTACTGTAGTGTAGAATCTTTTCTCCTGAAACATTCTCCAGATATCTTCACACTTTGTGAAACTAATTTAAATTCTTGTATCACTACTAATCACTACCTTACTTTTGTTGAAAAGATTCTAGCATTCATATGCATGGCAATCCAATAGCAAGAGAATTATCTCTTCAGTCCCAAGATGATATTTTCATGCACTTTTGAATTTCTCTTTTTCCTTTATCGTACCCCTTCTTCTCAGGACTGTAACAAATTAGTCAAAATATCTGACAGTATAGAAATGGCTCTCTGAATTCATCTACAAAGAGATTTGTGTTTGGTGATTTTAATGCTTATCATCTCAAGTGGCTTAATTGTTCTACTGTTATTGATGTATTCAATATAAAAGATTCTATAGAATATAAAAGATAGAAAAGAATATAAAAGATTGTAGAGAATGTAAAAGATTTTATAATATATAGAAGATAGTATGTAATATAAAAGTTAATAGAAAATTTAAAAAACTTTTTGAATATAAAAGGATGTAAATGATTTTATAGAATATTAACGATGTATAGAATATAAAAGATTGCACATGTTTGGAAGGAAATAAACTCTGAAAGAATAAATCAATCTTTATGAAATATATGATTTTTTAATTTAAATTTTATGAATTCTCCTTCTGAAATACAGCATTGAAAGAAAAAAATGGACACAAATTATATTAGCTGATTAAAGGTAACACATTGTTCTTATCAACATTATTTGTAATGCTTCAAACCATTATTAACAGTACACACATTCAGTCACCTGCAGTTTTTATTTACATCTATCCTCACAGACACTCCTTGTACATATATTTTACACTTAACATTTTCTTGAGGTTATCAGCATAATTTAATTTCTTATGTTTTTTTGTGTTTTTTCCTCAAAACTAAGCTTTTGATAAAGACTTTTTTCATTCACATGCTACTCAGAGTGACCTTTATTTGGCAACAAGTAATAAAATCTCGCTTCTCCTGTCCCCCATGGAAAATTAAACGCAAACCTTGATTGCATTCTTTGCCTTCACAAAGTCTATGGAAGTGGACACAAACAACAACCGTTTTTTTTCTCCTCAGTGAAAATAGATAAATAAATAACTTGCAAAACTCATAATATAATTATGGCTTAAAATCTCTTTTCAGTCCAAGCAAAGTTTTAGAAAGAGTAATTTATAAATTTCTTTTTGCTGACAAACATAGCTCAACATGCAAATTATAAACTGCAAGTGCCAAAATCAAGCAATTACAAAAATTTAAATATCTAGTAAGTGTTTTCACAGTGAACAGAAAGTGTAACACCACAATCTAAAGATACACTGAGTTGCTTTTCAAAAGCTAAGTATTAAGAAACAGTAAAATCTTGTTAGAAACAAAGAAAAGAGTACTGACTTGTTATGTAATATCAGTCCTTTTATATGGTAGTGAATGCTGGAAATTCTCATCACAGATGAAGAGACTTAAAGCAACATAAATATTGTTCTACAAAAAGATGCTGAGAATGTGATGATCATTTCCCCCTAAGCAAGGTGACAGTGCCACTAGAACACAGGGGATTACAAGGAGTGAAAGTGAATGAAAAGATTGAAAATGGGAATGATTGAGGAAAGGGCAAAAAAAGGAACAGTCTTCAAGAAGACGGACAATGACAACTGATGTAGCATTTAAATTCTTGAAGATTGTAGTTATCAGGGAAGCAAGAAATCAGAACCACAGGTGGGAAGTGTTAAAAAAACTGTTAGAGTAGAAAAGATGGTTGCATTTTGCTAGTTCAACAGTAAAGCAATGAGACCTAGTTGCCAATTTAGTAGCACGTTTAAATTTATGCAGTCAGAGCATTAGGAAAAAAAAGATTTGTCCAAGTAGTTACTATAAAAATATTTGTAGAACACAAAGATGGAAGCCACATCATGTCAGTGAGAAAGTGACTGGAGATGAGATGCTTAATCTGAACTGATTGTATTGCAGACAATTCTCTGGATTTTGTCAAGAATCTTGAGAAGGATATTAGGAGTACCAGACCAGATATGGCAACAAATGGAGTCTGATGAGAAAATTCTTTTGACACAATGCAAGTGATTCAATATAGTCACTCCACTTCAAGAAGACAGAATGCATGGTTTTTAGTAAAAGGATGAGCTTAAAATGCAAATAACAAATTGAAAATACCAAAATCAAACAAGTACCAAAATTTAAATATCTGGGAAGTGTTTTAACAGAGGATGGAATGTGTGACACTGAAAATCAGAGGTGCATTGAAATAGTCAAAGATGCATTTCAAAAACTAAGCAGAGTATTAAGAAATAGGAAAACTTCATTAGAAACAAAGAAAATAGTACTGAACTGTTATGCGATACCTGTCTTCCTGTATGGCAGTGAATGCTGGATAATCTTCTCAAACATGAAGAAGAGACTTGAAGCAACAGAAATGTAGTTCTACACAAAGGATGCTGAGGATATCATGGATCAAATATGTGAGCAATGATGAAGTTTTAGAGAAAAGGGAAACAAAAAGGAAACTTATACTTAACATCAGGAAGAGGAATTTGAAAATTTTAGGGTACATGAAAGAGGGCTTGGAAAATCTGATACTTACAGGACAGAGAGCAAGAGGGACAGAGAAAAACAATGCATAACATATTTAGTGAGCTTGAGTAAATGGGTGGTGGAACAAGGTTTAGGAGAAATAACAAAAAGACAAAATTTATTAAGAGCTACAATGGACAGGAAATTGTGGAAAGCCATGACTGGCTCTGTCCTCGGGGACAGAGCGCATAAAGAAGAATATACTGATTTCCTCTAGCCCTCTTGTCCTGTGAGTGTCAAAGTCGCCTTTCTTAATTATATGCCCTAGAAATTTCAACTACCTCTTTTTGATTCTAAGTATAAGTGATCCCTTTTTTTCATTTTCTCTTCATTGCTTAAATATTCAGTCCATAAGCTTATCTCTAATGGATAACATATTTTTTTCTCTTCGCACCACAATAAGCACTTTCTGCATTCATTGTAGTCATGTCTGGAGTTAAACATCATCAGGTTATAATAAATATGCACAAAAGACAAGCAGAAATGCCTTACCTGTATTTAAAAAACAAAAACAAAAGAAAACAGCTTATACAGTAGGTAATGTTACTGAATAGTAATGGCAAGTACATGTGGTGACCTGGTAAATCTGAAATTGCTCTTGTGGAAATTAGTGCAGATTTACTGATTGAACTGGATTACTGATTGCCAGATTGTTGATGGCCAACCTGTAGTAGATGAATGTTCTTATGTCTGCTTTCACTCTCTGTCATAAAGTGATTATTTCACAAAAACATTGATCTCATGTTTGTTTATCACATCATAACTTTCTGATGAAGTGTAGTTGCCAACATCTAGTCTTCAGCTTCATTTTCCTCTCCAGTAAAAACAAAAATCTTTATGTGCCATGTTGCCTCATCAGATGGGGAATCACAGTTCTCCACAATTTCCTCACTTTTCTCGCTTTCAGTAATATCTGCTCTTTTGTAATACTACTTCATCATTGTAGTACTTCTTCCTCAACCCAGCTGATGACCATATTATGTTGAAACATCAGTTCTCATATGATCACCAAAGTTAAGCAACATCAAGCTTAGTCAGTACCTAGATGGGTAACTGCTTGTGAATACCAGGTGCTTTAACCTTGGATGTGTGGGTGGTCTAATGGATAATGGTTCAGAATTGGAAACTAAAGAACCGAGTTCCAACTCTAGTCAGATTTATATTCACTTACATGCAAATACTCTTGGAAAACGTGTGAATCCACATCCTCTTCCCAAAAGGATCGGTTAATTTAGTAGGATTTGTATCAGTAAATCATTATCATCTCACAAAAATTTTTACAATCTAAGAATATTTTCTGGCTTTAAATAACCTGCAAAAGGTTGATAAACCATAAAAAACAAATCAGTCAATCTTCCTTCACCTATTTGCTTACACTTTGTCCCTTACCAACAGCAATACTCTAATCAATCTATTCATTTTCATTAACAAAGTTAAATCCTTTTTGGCATTAAAACTGACCTCACCAATGCAATAAATGTATAGACAACCTTAATTCAAGAACCTATCACCTAATTTCACTATTACCATTATCATTGCCATCAACAGTTTTGTGTAGTGGTATGTACCAGGTGTAACAGCAAAACTGTCCATCCCACAAAATGTTTAATATCTAAGAAACCACTAAACTACTTCAGTTTCTTTCTCCGGGTTTTCAGATAAGAGGTTTGGTCGTCTTGATACCACTGGTTGTAAGAATCAATGAAAAACACTTTAAGTTATTCAGCTAGCAAAAGAACAGGTTACAAACATTTTGTGTCAGCCCCACTGTCTTCCCAAATGGGCAATGGTGAGAGAAAAATGATCATTCAGGCCTTCAGTAATGATAACAACATTCATACTCTGGCTTCCATCTTCAAAGTTCACTCAAGAACCACCAACAGAACAGTGAATAAGTTTAAAAAAGAGTGAACAGTAGAGAGGAAAACTGGATCTGGAGGTCACAACAGGAAGGAGGATCATCATTTCAAGTTAGAGCTAAAGAGATCAATTAGAAAAGATCCAACTCAATCCATAAAACTTTTGACACATGAGAGAGGAGTTTCAGCTATGGTAGTCTAAAGAGCAGTGAAAAAAGATTTGAAAATAAAATCGTATGTGAAATGTGTGAGGCACCTTGTTACTTCAGGACAGAAAGTTAAAAGGTTAGAGAGGGCAAAGATCATCTTGAATAAGTTAGAAAATGATCCTGGAATGATATATATATATATATATATATTTATTCAATCCTTCATCAGCTTCTGGTGCTTAGCTATGATTAATTAATGATGAATATGTCATTTTCGTTTATGATCAATTTCATCACAATCCTTCAGTTAAGCTTGAAGAATAATGATACATTCTTATTGCTCAAAATAGAATCTAATAGTGTTATAAAAACTTCTGAGAATTACAGTAAGATATCTTTAATCATTTCTAAGATACAATGGTTCAAGCTTAATTTAACAATTGGACAATTTGGTGTTACAAGATTTGGACAATTTTGCTGTTACACTTGGTATATCTACCAAGGAGGCATCTATACCACCAAAATTCTTTTTAACAAAACATGTAAACTTTTAGACTCTGCTGTTAATGAAAAGTGTAACTTTTCATTAACAGCAGAGTCTAAAAGCCTACATTTCTGAAAAAGAAGTACTAATCCATTACATTCACTTACGTGCTAATACCCTTGGGGAAAGGTATGAATCCTTCCCCCAGCAATGGGTAGATAGCAGGACAGGCTGGGTTCTATAGCCTTGGATGGCAACTGGTCTACTGCAGAAAGAAATGGCAATCTACTGTGGTGAAAAAATCTGCCTTGTCAGTCATGTATCAAAAGATACATGATTGCCTAAGTGTGTATCACACATGGCACATAACTGACTTACTGATGGCTGGAGAGGAGTCCTTTGTATTAGGAAAAAAGGACAGAAATTTTCTTTTAAAGTATATGTTTTTAAATATGCCATTCTGCTGCAGTTGCTATTACTAGACTGCTGGTTGCTATGTATTTTCTCTACAGCCAGTATTCTGTGTTGTGGCCCAAACTCATTACAGAATTAAACAAAAACAAAACTCTCTGAGTTTTTATACCTAAGGAATGAGACACAACTGCTTCGGCAATAATAGGTAATATCAGCAGCAATGACATGTGTCTTCAAGATGTTGGTAATCATAGTTGTCCACAGATTCTGTTACTTTTAATATCTTTACATTGTGATGATTATTTTTAGGAAAGAGAGTGGAATTGATTATCTTTGCCTTTTCCATAGTTCCAACTTCCAAGTCATCTTTTTCCTATTCTAGTCGCTAAACAAGTTTAGAGAGATCAGTCTGATCTGCCATTTAACCAACAGCTGGACACAGAAGGAAAATTGGTGTCATGCCTTTCCTAAGAGCATAAGTGTGAAGAGAACATAAAGGATATCAGAATTTGAAGTCCAATTCCAATCTTTTACTATGTTAACTGTTAGTCTACTGCACCTTTCCATCAAGCAGCATTTCTCAACTGGTGTGTCCATGCACACTAATCCGTGCTGAAAAGTGACTAGGTGTGCCCCAAGTTAACAGAAGTCTAATTTATGAATGATTTTATATTTAAAATATCTTTATTTTTAAAAAGCTAGTGACACCAAGCACATGGATTCCATGTCAAGTCAAGTATTTATCATTTGATATTTTAAACTGGATGCTAAATTCCTTAATTTTTAAGGAGAAAATTAATTTTTTCCCTATGGTGTTCCCCAAAGGATTTAAGTCAGTTATTATCATTCTGTCTATAAAAAATAGCAGATTCTTCATAAATCCCTTTTAATGTAAACTGTACCACTAATCCTCTTTGGGAATGCTAAACCAATAATGACAACCATAAAAGGTAATTTTCTTCTTTGTCAAAGGACATCAAGTACAGGTTTCACACAAGCATATTTAAAAGAGTTTTAATTATTCTACAAGTGTACATTGAAGTAAAAATGGTTGAGAAACACTGCCATAGAGTTTTTCATTAGAATGGCATTCTTCATTTGGGAGTTACTTATTACTTGATTGGCAGTTGTCGCACTGTTTTACTGCTGAAATAGTTAAATGTAACAATAAGTTCTATTTTAATATTTTCTTCTCCTATACTTCTCACCTCTGGAAAACTCTTCCTATTTCTGGCTTTCCTTCCACATACAATCTTCAAAACTTATATGCACTGTCAATCACTATCTTCTGTCTTCTTGATTACTGTTCTTTTATTGTCTTCTCTCCTCACTAATGTTTTCTCATTTGGTATACTAGATTAGAAATTAGGTCTCACCATTTTACTGTTGAAATAGAATAGAACTTACAGTTACATCTAAGCTAATAGTTTCCTCTCCTATACTTCTCACCTCTGGAAACCACTTCTAGGTTCATATTTCCCTGCCACATAAAATCTTCAAAAGTTTAAATGCAACGTCAATTTCAATCCTCTGTTTTCCTGAATCCTGCTCTTTTATCGTTCTTTCTCCTTCATTTAACTCTTCTCATTTTCTTTCATTTCTAGTAATCCCTTACATCTTACTGGCATTATCACCTTGCTTGGGGTGAAATGATTAAAAAACTTTTTTTTGAAAAACATCGATTACCAGGGTAGGTTCTAAAAAAATATTGATATCTTTGTTTATTGTAGATTTTACAAGTATTTACACAACTAGTAAAAGTAGGACTGAAGCTTACCAAATTTATATGTAATGCTCACTTTCAAACTAATGCCCTTGAAAAAGGCATGAACCATATCTTCTCCCTGTTACAGGCTAAACAGCAGAGCAGACTTGTCTCTTCATCTTTTGGTGGTAGCCAGTCAGAGAAGGACAACTCTGAGTATAAAGACATACAGAAGGCAAATTAGCCACTCCAATATCTTTCACAAGAAGGCATAGCAATTTATAAATAAAAGAAAAAGGAATTTGTGAAGAGCCATGATTTCCTATGTCCTGAAGGGACATGACATTTAAACAATGTAATAGATGATGCTGCTGAAAGAAAATCTAATAAAATGCTTTTAAAATAGTTGATAATGTTTTGTTTATTAGGAGTTCCCCTCAGTGATGTTCCTGAGAGAGCAAGGCAATAAGAAACCAAGTACTTTTGCTTTTCTGTAGTCTCACTGATAGCAATTAAGTCCAGCGCTGTGAGAATTATTTCACCCTCTCATGATCTGTGAACAAATTTACACATTTACTACTAAAGATACTTGACTTCCTGTTTTGTGTTGTAATTTGAGTTTTGAATGTTTCCCATCATGCAATAAAAATAAATACTGTTTTCAAAATAAAACCTGCTTAAATTTCTTCCATCTGAGAAAATCACATACATGCTTCTTTTTATTTGTTCAGTTGTAGTTATTTTCACTTAACACCATGATCAATTCCTTGCATATTTTTCATTATCATAATCATCATCATCATTTTTGTCTCTCAGTTTGGCTGACCATGGCAACCAGCTTCTTTCATTTCTTCTTGTTCCAAGACTCTATCAACGCATTGCTCAACTTCATGTCTCGCTATTCTCGGATATTGTCTTCTCATTTCATTCTCTGCTTGCCTCTTTTTCTCTTTCTCTCCTTGCACCATGCTTTGCCGGATATTCTTAGCAAGCCCTCATGATCGTGAAATGTGCCTATGCTATTTTAATTTATGCCACTTCTCTCTGGTTAGTAGGTCTTCATATTGCCCGATGACTTGCCAGATTTTGTTTCCCAATTAATTTTGGCAATATGATTTTGTAAAAGATGCCTACAAGATTTTGAAATCATCTCTCTGTATATTACATATTATATTTCAACAAACGTTTATATTCCTAATAAGGTATAGAAAAATAGACAATGTAATGAATATTGGCATAATAAGTGGAATCAGTTAGCAGAGTTCAAATTCCAGCTAAGTCTGTAGCATTCAATTTCACACAAAAAAGGTATGAATTCATCTCTTCACCTTCATCTCAGCTATGGATTAAATAGTAGGGTAGGCTGGTCTTTGAGTTGCAAACAGTCAGGGAGAAATAAAACTTTAAATTCCAAACCGTGGTAATATCGATGGAAACTACTCCACCATCTTTCCCCAAAAAGCA